ACGATTGCTGATCAGGTTCTGAAGTCATACGCAGAATAGTTATTAGACTTATCCAAGTGGGAGACTGTTGGATTAGTGTCTAAGTCCATAACTATTTTGGTATGTACTTGACCCGATTATGAGCATGGTCCTTTTGGGTTGCCTTCACCATAGCAATATGTAGGATGAATTAAGGAGAGAAAGGTTTAAATATGATTTATTAATATATTATAAGAATAATATATTAAAGGAGAAATCATATAATGTAATTAATATTAGTCAAGAATTAATTAAGAATTAATTTTGTGGCTAAAAGAGATTAATTGAATTTAGGGGACTCGATTTGTAATTATAAGATAATTACGATTGGGCTATGGATCACCTAATAATATATAGGTTGGACGAATTCTATGGGAAGCCCATTAGAAATCATCCAAGGGATATGTTAAAGGACTCCACGGGCTGCTTAGGGCCTAAGTAGTCAGATTAGGGTTTCCTAGTTGTAAACCCTAATAGCCTACATGTATATAAAGGACCCTTAAGCCCCAAAAACGTGGACAAGTAATCCTCTAGGGTCTCCAGCCATTTTTGGTGCCTTCTCTCTCCTCCCTCTTCATCCAAGTTGCTTAGTGATGTTTGTGACTCCATTAGAGGTGCAACACTTGAGGCACTAAGCTTTCTGAAGTCAATCAAAGCAAGGAATTGATTGTTATTACTATATAACAATCAAAGGTAATTACTAAACCCTTATTTCAGTTCTTATATGATAGATCTAGGGTTTATGGCTTTGGATAATCAATTGCATGTTCATTAGACAAACTAGATCCAAAGCTATTAGGGTTTGCATGTACACCATAGGATTGATGTATTGCTTGAAACCCATCAGCTGGTGCATTTGGCGGTGATGGTGGAGTTGGGGCACATGGAGTTGGGGCTGGTGTAGTGGATGACGGAGCAGATATGGGTGACACCGATGGTGGTGCCTGAAATTGTTTAGAGCTGCCCTTTCGGGTGTGAAAATCTTGGTGAAGCTTTTGTTTTGTTTTATTTCGAACAATATGTGGCCTCTAAGGCCTTTGTCGCATTACGTTGATGGTTATTTTGGCATAGTTTGTGGCCTTTAAGGCCCCTTATCGTATTATGTTTGTATGAATCAACGATGGTTTTACTTGTCTACTATGTTTTTGTGCTTCTGGGTGCTACATTTTGTTGTTTGTTGAGTATGTTTGCTTACTTCGAGATTTTCCATCTCGTTGTGGATTCACTAAGTATCCTCTATGTCATGTTTGTTTTTATGTATATATATATATATATATATATATATATATATATATATATATATATATATGTTAGACATACTCATAGCACAACATATTGAGGATAGTACATTTTCTTTTATTTATGTAGTTCTGATACATGCTAATTTTTTTGCACTACAATTCCCTATCGGACTACTCTGAGCGTCCGCCTGTTGGTCCGGGTGATCAATCCGGCCAAGGGATGTTTCATCGTCCTCCCTTCTGCATAAGGGCTTGTAATTCTGCTCAACAATGGTGTCTCATCGTCCTCCCTTCTGTATAGGGGCTTGTGGTTCTGTTCAAAAGTGGAACCTTCTCAAGTTCCTTGCGTTCCATGTTCTTGGTAATTGCCTTCCTTCCGCTGTTTCCAGGGAGTACGACCCGTTGCGATGCACCTCTATCACCTTGTATGGTCCTTCCCATGTCTGGCTCAGTTTCCCACGAGGTTGTGCGCGGCTGACCTCATTCTTTCGCAGAACATAATCTCCGACCCGGAAAGCCTTGTCTTTGACTCGCTGGTTGTAGTATCTTTCTACTACTTTTTTGTAGGCGGCCTGACGCATACTCGAGCGTTCTCACCGTTCTTCCAAGAGGTCCAAATTTTCCCTTGGATTTCCATTGTTTTCTTGCTCCTGATAATACTCCGTTCGTATTGAACCTATCATTATTTCTGCTGGCAGCATCGCCTCGGCTCCATAAGCCAGGCTGAACGGTGTCTCCTGTGTGCTAGTCTGTGGTGTGGTTCGATATGACCAAAGGACTTCTGGTAGTTCGTCTACACAGTTGCTTTTTGCTTTGCCCAATAGCTTCTTAATCCCTTGTACTAACGTCCTATTAGACACCTCTGTTTGTCCGTTGGCTTGGGGATGCGCCACAGCCGTGAACCTTTGCTCTATTCCTCTTTCGATGCACCAATTCTCGAAAGGATTCTCAGCGAACTGTAAACCATTATCGCTGATCAAAACTTTAGGCGTCCCAAATCTCGTTATGATATTTTTCCACATGCACTTAATTATCTGTTTTCCGGTGATACACGCCAACGGTTCGGCTTCTATCCATTTCGTGAAATAGTCACCGCCACGACTAAGAACTTCACTTTCCCTGGTGCTTCTGGGAAAGGGCCGACGATATCGATCCCCCACTAATAAAAGGGCCACGATGAGGGTACTCCTTGTGATGGCGAGAAGGTCTGGCATTCCACGCACGCCCGGGTTAGTTCGACGGCGTCTTGATGTATGTCTGGCCAGTAGATCCCCATGCGTAGTACTTTGTTTGTGAGCGCCCGCGCTCCCTCATGGGCTCCAGCTGACCCGCATGTGCTTCCTTTAAGGCCTTCTTCCCTGACTCACCGTCTATGAATTTAAGCCATGGAGCCGTATGGCCTTTCCTATACAACGCTCCCCCCAGGATTGCATACTGGGGAGCTCGTATCCTTGTTTTTCATGCCTCTCCGTGATCGTCGGGGAGTATGCCATGTTGCAGGTAATCCATGATAGGCGTCATCCAGTTGGGTCGTGTTGTAGATAGGGAGTCGACTTGGCGCTCGTCGATGCTCCTCTCTTTTAATACTTCCACCAAAACTTCCTTAGAGAGGTGCCCAAAACATGTTGATGCTAGCTTGCTAAGGGCATCTGCTCGCCTATTGCTTCCCCTCGAAATCTGCTTTATTGTGAAACTCTTCAGTGAGCTAGTGATTCGTTGTACCGCCTTGACATACCTTTCCATCTGTTTATCTTTTGCTTCGAATTCTCCCGTGACTTGGTTGGCTGCTAGACGTGAATCAGTCAGAGCTATAACCCTTTCCGCCCCCATTTTTACTGCCAATCTGAGACCGGCCAACAAGGCTTCATATTCGGCTTCGTTGTTGGAGGTGTGGAAGTCGAACCGTAAGGCGTATGTAATTTCTTCACTCGTAGGGCTGGTTAGTATTAGCCCTGCGCCCGAGCCTTCTTTGTTGGAGGCTCTATTCGTGTAGAGAGTCCACTGTTGGTCAGTTTTTTCCTCCGGACACCCTTGTCGGGTCGTGCCAATTATTTCTAGCTGGAATTCCCCTGGGATTTCAAGCAGGAAATCCGCTAATGCCTGTCCCTTGATGCTTACCCTGGGATGATAGCTGATATCGTGCTCCCCCAGCTCAATGGCCCATTTTGCGATTCGTCCATATGTTTCTGGCTTCAGGAGCACTTGCTTGATCGGGCAGTTAGTTAACACCTCTATCTGATGGGCCTAGAAATACCGACGGAGCCTTCGTGATGCGTAGATTAAGGCGAGCACCAGCTTTTCGATGATTGGATAGTTGATTTCGGGCCCATGTAGGGCCCGGCTCACAAAGTAGATCGGGAGCTGCCGCTCTTGCCTCTCAACTACTAGCACTGACGAAATGGCGTCTTTTGATGCGGAAAGGTAGACCTGCAGCTTTTCCCCCGGTATCAGGCTGGCCAAGGTAGGGAGTGTGTGTAGCGCCTTTTTTATTTTTTGTAGCGCAGCCTCGGCTTCCGGTGTCCACTGGAAGTTATTCTTTTCTATGCACCCTTTGAGTGTATGGAACAAGGGCATGACTTTTACAGCTAAGCAAGTGGTAACCAGTTGATTAAAGGGAAACCGGTTAATAGGTAAAAACGACAAATTTAATGCAAGTTTGAGGCAAAAACGGACATAAATTTGAACTTAGGGTAAATCCGACAATTTCGTGCAAACTTGAGGGTTTTTATGCCATTAACAAAAATAAATATTTAACTATTTTTACAATTTGTTATTCAAAAAATTCATATAACTGACCCAAACCCGTTTTATTTTGCCTAAATAGTTTCCCTTGTTTGCAAATTGCAATTGCCCTCCAAACAAGTCTCATCTCACGGCTTCTGCACTCTCGACCTCCCCTCCTTTGGCTTCCGTCCATATAATCCCCAACCGCATCTCTCTCTCTCTCTCTCTCTCTCTCTCTCTCTCTCTCTCATCACTGTAGCTCTGAACAATCCTCACACCGCGATCATCATACTCTTAATCCCAATTTTTGAGTAAGTTCTCACCCTTTTTCTTTCGTTTCTGTAAAATTTAATGCAATCCCATGTCAGTTCTTGAATTATTTCGCCAAAAACACTATCTTTCTTCCATAGGTTCCGTAACAATGTGCTTCTTTTAACGACAACAAGACATAAGGGATATTCAATTGACGATTTTTGTATTAATTGGGTTTTAATTTATGTTCTGGGGTAGCGTAGAATTGTCTTCGGGATGATATCATATTCAAACATCTTTTCTCTCTTGTTGCTTACTTTCGCATTTGATTCAGTAGAGGGAAACTATATGAAATGCTAATGCTTGCTGGTGTTTGTGAATTTTGATTCTATGCGAGTAGTTTTAGCTGTTAATTGTGTAATCCATGTGATGTATATTCTTAATTCAAATCAGTTTGGATCGCCATTTGAGCTTTTTATCGGCCAATCATGTTTCAATTTCTTATACAAGTTTTGCTGATTTATCTATCACTTTTCTTTTAATACCAAACAGAAGGAAGACAAATAAGTATGCAAAATCCAAATCAACCATTCAAAGAATATGACACCAAATGATCCTTATTAGCCATAACAGATCCCAAAAGTTCACAAAAGGGGGCAAATTATAAAAAAAACTTGTTTGCCTTTGTCTGTTTTCTGTGTGTATGTGTGTTCTAATTTCTTCTTTTTCTTGACAAACATACTGATTTTTCAAATTGGTTCTTGTATGACAGTGGATTTTGAGGTTGATGATGATGATGTCAATGGTGAGGTACTACTAAACTCCACAGAGCTTGAGATAGAAAGCCGAAAAGGCGATGAAGATGACAATGACAATGACATGGTAGGATGTTCCCTTGAAGGGGTATTTAACAACAACCATGACATAAAAATCGATCAAGATGAACCCGAAAGAGGCATAATTCCACTAGATGCCCACAATGTTAACATTGAAGAACCATATATTGGTCAAGAGTTTGAATCTGAAGCATCTGCACATGCATTTTACAATGCATATGCAACAAAAGTTGGATTTGTTATTCGTGTAAGCAAGCTTTCAAGATCAAGGCGTGATGGAACAGCTATTGGAAGAGCTCTTGTTTGTAACAAAGAAGGGTTTAGGATGCCAGATAAGCGTGAAAAAATAGTAAGACAAAGGGTGGAAACAAGAGTTGGTTGTAGAGCAATGGTTTTAGTTAGGAAAGTAGGCTCTGGAAAATGGGTGATTACCAAATTTGTGAAAGAGCATACTCATCCTTTGACACCTGGAAAAGGGAGAAGGGATTTGATTTATGACCAATATCCGGTTTGTCTTAATCTCATCTTTTTCTATCAGTTATATATCTTGTTCATTCAATATAAACTTTTATTTGAGAAAAATACTATGATAACGTTATATAGAATGACTTAATGGGTTAAGCTTGAAAAGCATGATTAGGGTTTTGATGCAGATTTGTGGATTATATATTCCTATGGCTCTTATGCAATCTTTGATTTGGTTAATTGCAGAATGAGCATGATAAGATCAGGGAACTATCACAACAGCTAGCAATTGAGAAAAGAAGATCAGCAACCTACAAAAGACATTTGGAAATGGTTTTTGAGCACATTGAGGAACACAATCAGTCATTGTCAAAAAAGATTCAAGAGATTGTAAACAATGTGAGTGCAATGGAGTCGAAAGAGATTGAAACTCATAGATAGATAATAAGTTTGAAACTTCTTGTCTTTTTTGACTGAGAATAAGTCAAATTTTTCATCATATACAGGAATCTTTAGATGGTGTTGCTTCTTGATTTGCAACTTACTCATTTTAGAAAGTGTTCTTTTTTCCTTTCATCTTTTGAAAGACTTGTGTACAAGTTGAAACCTTATATGGTAGTTAAAGGGGATAAATGCAAGAAATAGCAACGTGTTTTTACTTTTGTTTGCTCTTGTATTAAATAATATATATCTTAATATCTATAAAACATATTGCTTTTTTTTAATGTTTTGTTAATTACAATCGAACTAAAAAGAAGTCAAAAACCATGATATTATTTTTAAAATTTAGTTATAAGACTTACGAAATATATATTTAGCCGAAAAAAATATATTATTTTAAGTCATCTTAAATATATATCGACCATAGTTTCAACATTTTCTAGTATTCTAACCACTTACTCGCTATAAGTCGTTTAACTCGACTTATTATAAGTCCAAAGAAATACGACTATATTCCATTAGTTTTATAGTTTTAAAACCATCCAAATAATACTAAAATGAACTCATATTCAAACCCGATTCATGTTGTCTGAACAGTTTTAGCAAAAAATCTTAAAATCGTTTTATGTTTTGCAAAATTGTGATTGTAAGATCCTACTAAAATGAACTCATATTCAAATTTTCTCGCAGGATAGTGTAATCGATTTTAACTTCTTAAGCATCATCCTTATTTTGTTGCTAAAAAACGTAAATATTAAGAATAAAACATGTTAATTAGAAATAAGATCATTTTGACAATATACAAGTAAGACATAAGACCACATATGGATCATTATTTGTATGTTCTGTCTAACTCAAGATGAATTAATAAAATGGTAATGCTCTAGAAAACTTATTGCTAACTTGTGACATTTGATTTCAAGTTGAAAAGACCAATTTTTGAGTATTTTATACTCAGTTATATAATAAAGGTAAAGAGGTGAGATCGGATAGTTTTTCACCATAGAATCTTAAAATTGTAAAATGGTAAGATAAAAATCCAGATTTTAAATATATCTTTTAAACCCTTACAATGGCGTTTAGGGTTCGATAATTCACAGCTCACCTTCCTCCCTGCTGCCACCATATCCACCTGACCACCTTCAAAGCTCACTTCACAACCTCCGTCGACTCACGCACTAACGTCGAATTGTTCAATGCTCCCCTCCAATTTCTACAGCCTGATTTGTGAGTTCTAATCTTCTAATTTCTGCTCAAAGTTTATTTCTTTTGCAACCCCATCGAATGAGTATGATATTTCAGGATTCGGTTATCGTTAGTAATAACGTGTTAATTCTTCCCAAAATTAAATGGAGTTATATGTACATGTTTACAGAATGCAAGCTCAAATCCTCTAAATCGGTGGTCATGTTTTCCCAATTAGGATTTCTATTTTGAGTACATTTGAATATGGCACCACTTCATGAATCCTATAACGTTGAAATCAATTGATTCTCTATATGTTATTTTGTTTAATCCCCATTGCCCTTTTAACGTTTATCAATTCAATTTGTGTTTGCTGTTTGTGTGTTCAATCATGAAGGATAAATTAAAATATTAAATGTCTTCCTTCTATCATGATCCAACAACTGCTTGTAGAACACAATCCACATGTCAGGAAGGAGATATAGCTTGGAATCATGCAAGTGAAGTTCTCTCCATGGATGACAAATTGGAAAATGACATTGAAAAGATGGAAACACAAACACCTTCAGAAAATAATCAAGAACCATGTGAGGGTATGCTATTTGAATCAGAAGAAGCAGCAAGAACATTTTATGATGAGTATGCAACACGTGTTGGTTTCATTACCCGTGTTTTATCTTCTCGTAAGTCAGAGAGGGACGGAAGCGTAATTTCACGTGGCCTTGGATGTAGAGGTGATTCAGAACATCATAACAACAAGAAGAGCACTATGAATATGATCCAGAAAAAGAATAAAAAAAGTGGAGAAAATTGCACAGCAATGATTTTAGTGAAGAGAGAGAAACCTGGGAATTGGGTTGTTAGAAAATTTGTGAAGGAACACAATCATCCACTTTGTGTTTCAGTTTCTAAAAAACGTGCAACATTTGTAAGTTTTCATTCACTTCTTTAATGAAATCTTGTTAAAAGTATAATTTTTTTAATATGAATGTTTTGTGTAGGATGAAAAAGACAAGAGAATTCAAGAACTAAGTGGTGAATTGCGTGTAAAGAAGCGATTAAGTGCATTATACAGAGAACAACTTCTTGCTTTAATGAAAGATGTTGATGATCATAATGAACATCTATCTTCAAAAGTTCAAGTTGTAAGAAATAATTTAAAAAAACTTGAAGCAAGGAATGTATAATTGTAAGTATTTATTATATCTAAATTTCCCATGATGCCCTTTTGAGAATAGCGTTTATATATATATGTAATTATTTCTTACCAAACTTGTTATACTAGAAATTATGAACAAATTAGAGTTTGAAACCTCAAATAGCTTTTAAAACCATTCTTCATTGATAAAAGTATAAAACAAGTTTACTTCAAGACTCATACATACGAATAAAAATTGAAGTCATAAATTCAAACTTGAGGTGTTTCCATATGAAACTTAATAAAGTTCGACTCATAAATTCAAACTCTAATAATAATTCAATAAAAGCTCAAAGCTTTGTTTTTTTTTAACAGCTACTCACACTCTCTAATCTACTCATAAATTTACACCTAAAGACAACAATGGTTTAAATCTTGAAGTATTTGTATCCATCTAAAGGGTTTTTCATTCCCTCTTCCCAATCACCCATTTTCCTTCCACCAAATACTACTTGTTGTATACCCAAATACCTGCCAAATTTATTAAAAAAAATCATTTTCAAACATTATTAATTCAGACAACACTTTATCCAAACAGAACTTAATGAGAATAAATAAAAGAAACAGAGGCTTACTCTGAACTCAATACAGTGAGACAATTGAGAAGAACATCAAGAGCAAAGTAATCTGAAGTACCTATATCTACCCTGTTTGTTCCACATTTTTCAAAACTTATTAATTACTTATTTTGCAAACATATATTACAATAATATTATATAATTTAATAAAATAATATCAAAATTCCATACCAAACACGTCCCCAATTATCCTGAAACTCAACATCCCCAACATCATGAAATGATGATGGCATCACATTGAAGCCCTTATCTGCATCATACAAAGGATTGTATTCCATGGATGTATTTGCCAACTGCCACGTGTATATCACAAGTCACGAATTTAATATTATTACTACAACAATCACCTTTTATTCTTTAACTTAATAATACTAAATTATTTACTATATGTCGCGTTTGTTTGTTACCTGCAAATTAGATGAATTATATGCACCTAATCGACCCATGACATACCATGACTGAATAACCTGTGTGTCACACGTATAAACAAGATTAATTAATTATACATTTTTTTTATTCTTTGTTTAAAATGGAATAAAGAAAATGAGAAGAATTTAGTTACACTGCCAATTAGGTCAACATCTCGATCAGAAGGTGGGCCATATAGCTTGAACCATATATGGGAACCAACAGGACTGAAGCTGTTAATCACAAATCAAAAGAAATTAAGAGCAATTATGTTCATCATACAAGAACATTCGTTAATTAATAATCATACAAGAGTGTAAATACAAGTTAATTACTCTCTAAATGTGACTTTGAATGCAACAACAGAACCAGTTTTAGCTTTGTGAAAATCTCTCCCTTTTTTCCGAATCCTATCTTCAACCTGTACAATCATATTTGTTCATCATCCAAACAAATCTAACATTGCAGAAAGAAAAACAGAAACACTATTATTACCTTCTGTCTCATCTGTTCTGGCTTTCCAATGGTATCACCAAGAACATTTCGAAGTTCAATGTCGTTTTTTGCTGCATCTTCTAATACCCTGCAACCATTCATGGAAATGGTTTAGCTTCAAAGTTGAAAGAATGGGGAATTGAATGATGTAAGAAGAAGAAAAGGAGGCGAGAGATTACTTAGCCCAAGAAGGATAATTGTGAAGTCGTTCGTATTCCCGTTTCCTCTTCTCTTCTCGAACCCTGAGCAACCTCCGCCCTCTAGCGGTCGTACCTGACCCTTTCGCGTCTTCGACTACTGAACCACCGCCATCGCCGTCCTTGTTACCGGAAGATTTCGCACTTACGGTGGCGATCGTTGTTCTAATGTTCCCTGGAACGAATTTGGGACAGAAATAGAGAGTTTCTTGATTCAATGAAATTGAAGAACAGCGATTGAATGCACTGCACATGTGCATCTTCCAGATTAAATAATTTGATGAAGATCGTTGTATTGAATTGAAGGTTATGGTCGTTTGAGGATAAGCTGACGTTAGGGTTCTAAGGGGGTTTATCGTTTTGAACGGATAAATGTAGTTATGTTTAGTCTGTTAGTGGTGTCCGATTGCACATATGGCCCCTACAGTTTGTATATTTACATAAACAACCACTGAATTGTTAAAAAGCCAAATGACTATTTATAATTTTATATTATACTTTAAGGTCGTTTAGGATTTTCTTGTTTAAAAATTTTATTAGTTTATTCTGGTTTGGTACATGGTTGGATTGTAAAAAAAAATTATGATTTTTTGATAAAGTTGTTTTGGTTTAACTTATTAGAAACCTCTTATTAAAGGTGGAAACTAATATGTAAGATGTCATTTTAGATCATTTAAATATATAAGAATATGAGGATAATTTGTCAAAATTATGAAAAATAACTTATCTATTATGTTGTGATACTCGATACTATGTTAATCAAAACATTTTTTTTCTAAAATTTCGTCTTTACACCGGATAAACTGATAAACATTTTTATAAAAACAATTGTTTTAAATAAACAATCCTAAATACCCCTTAATAGGTATGAGTTATTAAATGACCGTTATTTTAGGGAAATATATGTCCATATGGTATTTTTATTTTCTATCACAAAACAATCATTTAAACCATGAAAAAAAAATCACGAGACAAAAGAAAAACACACTACTTTTGCTTTTATTCTAAGTTTCTAACAAAGAAAACTCACTCGAAGAGCGAAATGGATCCTCACTCTACAAAGCATCTCTTATGTGTTGTTTGTTTATCTAAAAAACTACTTCTGACCACTTATTGCTGCGCCGTGCAGCACACGCGCAACACTTGACCTTCACAGCTGTTTGTTTTTTAGAAGACTTCTGACTTAAAAACTGTTGCGCGTGTGTTGCGTGACACAACACTTGACCCTCTGCTTTACACCTTACTTTAACTTATTGCAGCAGTCTGCAGAGGTTAAAAAACAAACAAACTTTTTATTACATGTTGCAGTCATTTGGTCTCCTCTTCTGCTACAGAGGGTTGCAGAGATGGTCCGCAGACTTCGCTTCGAAAAAACAAACGGTGCCTTAGTCGTTCTTATGGGTTTTTTTTTCTTGTATTTGATTGCGCTTTTAGCATAAAAAACTCATAATGATTCGGATCTATTTTTTTTTACCAATAGTTGTTTCTCGATATCAAGGGAGGCTTCACAAAGCGAAGATTCTTTGAGTAGTCCCCGATATTACATAGAGGATCTTGGCCATTTCTCCCAAGTTTTGCTTGTATTTGATTATGTTTGTAGCTTAGATTAGGCCATAATGGTTTGGATCAAAAATATTTTACAAATAGTTGTTTCTTATTATCCAAAAAGTTTCGTTGAGCGAACCGTGCATGGTTGTCAAAATCGTGATCCTGGTCGTAGGATCGTACGATCCTACGATCGTAGGTATGAAAAACGATCCGTATCATAAAATGATCGTATTTGAGGTAGGATCGTATGATCGAGTTCCGATCCAATCCTACCTTCCCTTGATTTTTTTTTTATTTTTTTTTTATTTTTTTTTTACCATTTTATATTTTTTACCATTTACCAATCTACCATTTATCATTTTTTATTGTGACTTACGACTAATATTTTGAAGTTTTTATAACTTTTGAACGAAAAATTAAATGTTTGAAATATTTTTCATGATTAAATATTATAAATTAAAATTATATTTTATTTTGTGGGATCTTAGGATCTCGATCCCGATCTTACAAACCCAAAAACGATCATAGGTAGAATCCCGATCTTGACAACCTTGGAACTTTGAAATAAATATTCTCTCTAAAGTAGCATTCTTGGCCTTTTATCAGTGTTTTTTATTAGTTATTTTTTCTTATTGTAGCATAATTATATGAGCTTCCTGGAAGATTTAAACATCGACTATATAAGATTCTCGTAGAGAACTGTTTATTCCGACATCCTTGGATATTAGTTTGGATGTACCAAAACCTGACGAGGACCATGATATGATATATATATATATATATATATATATATATATATATATATATATATATATATATATATTGTTTTACAAAAACTAGAAGATTTTTCTTCATTTTAATCTAAATTGGTTATCCACAACAATTATTACAAGATGTTTCTCATCACTATTTGAGCATTAGTGATTGGTAGTTGAGAAAAAATTTGTGGATATTAAATAGGGAAAGATTACAGAGGTTAGGTTACATGAAAACATAATAACCAAAATTTTCTGCAAAGTTAAATGATAATTATAATGAAAAATTACTCCTAAGTAATGAAAGAAAGCTACAAGAAAGAAACCAAATCTAACCTCTGCCCTTACAACCAAACCAAACATTAAGCTGCTTTGGCTTTGCGTGATGGAGGACATCGGAAAAGACTGATCAAATCATCCACTCCTTGTTCCCCAAAAAAAATATATAAAATAAATATATAAAACACCATGTGCATATTTTTTTTTTGACTTTTTTTTGTCTCAAAATAAACATACCCTGGTAGTTATGACAAGGAAGCTGAAAAGTGTAATTAAATATGATCCCAAAACTAGTAGCAACAGCAAGTCAAATGTTACACACGCAACCTGAAATAATAAGTTAATAAAATTCAAAATCTTTGATGTGAAAGTGAGAAATAAAATATCATAGAAATAAATAATAAACTGACCTGATAAATCTGGAGTATAGCAACTGTGGAGTCATAAAATGTGAACATTCCATCAAGCACATCATGTTGCAAATTCACCTCTGCAACATGATCTGCTAATTCCTGTTTGTTATTCAAATAAAAACCACTAAATGTCAGTTGTTAATGCTCATTAATCAATTATTTAAAAAAAATGTTTACCTTTTTCAATGCAATGATGAATGGATTGTCCTTTGAGAGAAATGGAGCTACACGAGGTGTTGTTGATAAAAGATGAAGCCATGATTTTATGTAAAAAGGATTCACAGACAAACTTGTGTTATCTGCAAATATTTCCATCTTCTTTCCTTGTTGACCATATATATGCCTCTGTTGACATAATACCAAAATCATCAAAATTTTGTAAACCAATAATAATAAAATAATATTTTTATTAAAAAACACAATGCTCTTTCTTACTACAAGACTTTCAGCAACCAATTTCACACTCTGAACAACTGCATCTTCACTTACAAACTCTCTAATACAATTAAAAAAAAACAGAATCTCAGCAAAATGGTTATCATTTTTTTTATATTGATAATAAATAGTTTTAAATATAATTATATAAAATAATCACCTGTTACCAGAAAGACCTCCAGTATTTTCCAACAAATTTGGAGCAACAGAAAGTCCAGAAACTGTTGCTACAATAACTCTTTGTCACAACCGAAAATTTTCAAGTCTAGAAACCAAACCAAATGAGTCTCGTATATGCAATAGTTGTAGCTATGCTATTATTATGCTTTTGTAATATAATGTTTTTGAGAATTACACTACCCTAAAGCCTCCTAAGTAAATGTGAACAATAAGAAATGAAAGTTACGTCAAGATATTAGTCATATTACATAAAACAAATACATTAGAGTATTATATGCATCCTAGACCATAAACACTTCCCTAGGAAGCACCATGGCCGTGAACACCTCAAGGAATCAAAATTTAGACCATAAACTCTTATGTTTGGACATGTTGGCCGTGAACACACCCCAAGAAGCCATTATGGCCGTAAACCACCTCAAAACACCAAGCTTTGACCATAAACATCACCCTAGGAAAGCTTTTGGCCGTAAACTCTAAAGGGGATCACTTTAAGGGCGTAAACACTTTAAGGAATTGATGTATTTGACCATGAACACCTCCCTAGGAGGCATCTTGGCTGTGAACATTAGTTTATGGTCCATTTAGACCATAAACTCCTCTCAACTCAAATGGGTTTACGGTGGGTATTAGTTGTAAGTGGCTATTTCCAATACAATCTCAGTAATTCATGCATTATCACTTGTAAACCAAGCACATATCAAATCAATTTCCCTATTCCCATACAAGGAGTGTAAACCCCATTCTACACCTCACAAACTCATTTTCATTCAGTGAAAACTCCGTAAACTCTCTCAAACATTCAACCAAGTTCCAGAGGCCATTTCTTTACATCTCCTTCTAAGCTTCTGTAAGTTAATTCATACTTAGTAAATGCTTCATACATTTAGTCATTTTAAATCTTCTACTCACACATAAATTTATGTGTTCATAACCATATGATAGCAATAATCCTCAAGAGGTTCATCCCACACTCCAAGTGTTCTAGACTCTAGTTCCTCATCTCATCCCTTCAACTACACTATCTTCAAACCAAGGTGAGCTTCATACCCCCTTTTTGATGTCTTTCATAGTTTTGGGGGAGGATACAAGTCAAGGGTCTTGTGAAATCTTAGTATATTTGCTTGTTTATGCATGTATGTTATGATTCATATGATTAAAAGTTATGAACTCTATCTAATGGTTCAAGAACTCGAGATTTTTAATAAGTCTCAAGGTTTTGAACTATATATCACCAATTATATGTTAGAACACAAAAACTAGTATGTTTATGGATTATTGATCATAAAATGTTATGTCAAGAACCTTAAGGATTTGTTTCAAAAATGTGCTTAAACAACTTGTTGAAAACAATATTTTGAAAGTGGGTAAAATATGGAAATAATAATATTTTGGGGACCATTTTCGACCACATATATACACAAGGACCATTTTGGAAAATGGAATAAAATTGAAGAATTATTGAACATCTCAATTTTTAAAGGGCCAAAATGAAATTTTTGGACAAACAATGGCCTTTTTGAGTACTTTCATAAATATAAGTCTAAAATGAACATTTTAGAAGAAAATGGCCATTTTCGACAATTCACCTAGTTTTGAACCATTTATGACACCTTTTTGACAAATATGGGTCTTATTTGATAATTTATAAAAAGAATGGCCATTTTTGCCAATGCCGATAATTTTGGGTCATTTTTGATAAATATGATTCCAAGTGGATTATCCTTAATAAACGAAAACGATAAACCTAGTCACCTAGGACAAGTAATGTTATTTATTAAATAACGGATCTTATCAATTGCTCAAAAACCAGTTGGTATTCTAGTGAAGACGAGTCTCAAAAAGTACCTAAATATAAATATATTAGTGTACGTCTAAAGTCTTGTAAGGAGTTATAACCAGAGTCTCCTGTAGGAAGAGCGGAAATTTGTGTATAGATCTATACGGGGTTGACACCCCGCACCTTCGCTGTTCGCTACAGCTAAACCGGCTAGTCTAGGGTGACAAATGTATTTATTCGATTTGGGCGTCTGAGAAATGCCAAGACAGGTCTCCGTCATATTAGTATGGTTATAGCGACTCACTAGAATATGTTTAGAAATTTATGTAAGGTAAACCTCATAAATAAATTGGCACATTTTGTTGACTGCCCCTATGCATGGTAGTGATGGTCCGCATTTGTTGTGTTGACCGTCCACTCAACTTGCGTGGAATGTCCACAATCGCCTGTTGTAGTTGGAATTTATTTACTTATGTCTCTTTCGTGTAATTTGAAGAACAAATACAACATGTAAAAAAATGTAAGTTTGTTATCTCAATGTATGATGTTTGGATTTGCTATGTTTCATTTATATTCAATTGTTATGATAGTGCACAATGAAGTCACCCGCCTCCGTACGTTTCCGCCGTCTGGTCCGGGGGTGTGACACTCTTAACCTTGAAAACTGTTCATGCTCCCATGCTACCTGTATACAATTGGAAATGTTGATAATAATAAATTATAATAAAATTTAAAATTCTACTTCAAATTTTGAACTTACTCGGGAATTGGAAATGTTGATTTTCTTGTGCTTTAGCCCAACTTTGAGCCCTAGTTCTTGTGCTACATCAGATAAACCCTGTATTTACACACAAATGGGATTTAGAATATATGATTATATGCAATTCCAAAATCTACAATGATTCTTTAATCTTTTTTATCACTTACTTCAAAGATTTGTTTAACATATGCATTCTATGGAGGTTTAGAAACATGAACCCATAACCCATTTTCCCCTGACCCAAGGCTATTCAAGCAGATAGAATAATCAATACTTTCTCTCAAACGTTGTCAACCAGCCACAATCCACCATGCATCATCTTCTGGAACATTCATACATGTCATACAACCCATGAGCATCAATAATGCACATGATGGAGCATCATGAGCCATAGTGGCACATCATGAGCCATAGTGACGCATCATGATGCATAGGTGGCGCATCAAGAACACTAATGGCGCTTCATCCATCATGGTGGATCATCAAGGTGTATTCCTTGAGCATCTTCAACTTCATGGCATCCTTGGACAACCTTGATCATCATAGACGACTTCATAGCATACAACTCATCAAGGGATACCTGGCATATCAAGGAATCAAGTGCGCATCCTAGCATCAAGATGGCGCATCAGGCATGCGAATGCCGCATCTTGATCAGGGGATGGCGCACCCTCTCCTAGGTTAGCGTATCCTCCTTCAAAGTGGCATATCATGTCACTTGGTGGCATATCCTATCACTTGGTGGTATATCAAGTCAATTGGTGGCATATCAAGTCACTTGATGGCATATCAAATCACTTGGTGGTATATCAAGTCACTTCGTGGCATCTCCTGTTGCTTTGGCATATCCTGTCCTTTGTCTGGAGATCCATTTCTTTGTCTAGAGATCCATTCCCTTCTCAGATGATCCATTCATTTGTTACATGCTCCATGAATCTCAAGTGCTCTATTGACTTCCAAGTGCTCCATTAAACTCAAATGATCCATGTGAATGCTCTAAATGCTCAAGTCGCATTTAACACACACACACACACACACACACACACACACATATATATATATATATATATATATATATATATATATATATATATAACACCCAGCCAATCATGTATTTCCATTCTTAACACAAAGTATTAAATTATGACAAAAATAGTCCTTACGCCTTGCGTACTTGGGCCGTACGCAGGGTGTAAGCCTTTAATGTATGACGTGAGTGTTTATGAGTATGAAAGGCGTACTCAAGGGGTACGCAGGGCGTACTTGGCAAATATGCAAACCCTAAATCCGGAGTTTTGAGCCCTATTTAAGCAACTTAACCCTCATAAATCCCTTCCACCTTCAGCCTCCATCCTCCCAAACGACCCCTTGCAAACCCTAATTTTCATTTGAGAGTTTTTGAGCTTTTAGACTGTTTTGTGTCCATCTTTGAAGGAAGAAGATCATTGAGCTTCAAGCATTGTAGATCTGGGATTTTCATCTCTCAAACAATCTCCAGAAGGTATAAAGTTCTGAACTTGATGAGTGCTTCACTAGATCTTGTTAGTTCTTAAGTTTTATGCATTTTGGTCCCATAATTTTGGTCTAGTTGAGTATGAGCTACTCCGGACCTTATAAGTAGCCTTTTAAGATGTTTTGAGGTGCATGGAGTCATAAAAATGGAGTCATAAAAATGTTTTGAGATGGATTTTTAGATTAACTTAGGTCGGGTTTAAAAGCATTTGCATTGCGTTGCATTTTAAGATGTTGAAGTTTATTTTTTGTTTTTTTTTTGTTGATATTGAGTAACGCTACTTTTAATATGCTTCTTTCCCAACAAATGAAATTACTATTCTTTTAAAGGTTATTATTTTTAGGAGTTTGATTTTGGGTATGAATGCTGGCATTTTCCAATACCCTTAAGAGCTTACTTGTAAAATGTTCATTAGGTCTTCCAAGTCTAACCTATGTATTTTGACATTTATTTAGATTAAATGACTTAGTGAAGACTAGAGACATATTTAGCTTTGGATATTTAGGAGACTTTGAAAATTTATATCTAAATAAGTGCAAGTTGTTTATTTTAAACGATTATCTCTTGATTAATTTGTATCATGATTCCAAATAGCTCATACGAGGGTGTATCAAAACATGACAAACACATTAATATCGTATCAATTGTGTGTTGAACTTTGAATACAAACATGACGAAACATGGCATCTTACATTAGAAAAATGATGAAACATGACATCTTACATTAGAGAAAAACATGACATGATTACGGATTTGAATTTGAATTTCATCCGAATTTCATTTAGTGTATCTTTAGCGTGTTGTATTGTTCAATTGATACCCCTACGCCACACACCATGGAGTACGCTCATTTAAGATCACTTTTATAAAATTCAAGAAAATGACTGTATTCATTAAAAATAACATCACAAAAGTTGCCCATTCAATTTGTATTCTTTTTATGCATGATAGTCCAATAATATTATATTTAGCGTTTGATCCCTAAAAACAACCTATAGTTACATTTTAGCCTCCCGCTTCTCCAACTCCTACTACCCTACTTCTCCGTTGTTTTCCCCACCGAGAGCCCATCGTCGTCGTCCTCCGTTGTTCTGTTTTGGTGGCTTTATCGTTTGTTTTTTTATGATGTTTCAGGGTTTGCTTTTGATTTTGTTTAGGGTTTGGACGACGGTGATGGTAAACTGTGGTGGATACTGGTTGACGGAAACAAGTAGGCTAGTGTTGGCTTGTTCCTGGAGGAGACAATGGAATCAGATTGTTGGCTTGCTACAGAGATCCACGGACTAAAAACATACGAATTTTGACTGTTAAACTAAAAGATCTAGGGACTAAAAACACTGAAACAATGTTATAGGGATGAATAATGCTTAGAACGAAACTAGTGCACCTTTCCATAAAAAGTGGTAAATTGACGTATATATTTAGGAGAAGGTATGACTTTTATCAAAAGTAGTTGACTTTGAGTTCCTATATAAATCCCACTACTTACTCTTAACGTTATTGTAAGTCTACTCTCAAGTTGCTCATACTTTCCCATCACTCTTAATGGTTGTTCTTTCTGAATATATCGAAGTATCATCTTCTTCATCTTCTAAAGATCATAAATATGACGTATTTTTAAGTTTTCGGGGTGTTGATACTCGATATGGTTTCACTGATCATCTCCATAAGGCCCTCCTGGATGCCAACATCTCTACCTTTTTGGATGATGAAGAGATTGAAACCGGAGGAGATCTTAAACCAGAATTAGAGAGTGCGATTAAATCATCTAGGGCTTCTGTTATCGTGTTGTCAAAGAATTATGCTAATTCATCATGGTGTCTGGATGAATTGGTGTTGATACTTGAGCAACGAATGTCATCCAAGCAAATTGTTATCCCGATCTTCTATCATGTTGAGCCCACCCATGTCAGGAAGCAACAAAGTACCTTTGGACTTTCAATGGCTAAACACATACAGAAGATGGAGGCAGAGACAAATGCAAATAAAAGAAGTCATTTGGCTCAAAAGATTGATGGATGGATTCGAGCGCTTACTGAAGTTGCTAATTTGAAAGGGGAGAACGCAAATGGCAGGTAACCACTTTCTTGCCTATATTTCCATACTCCAATTTTGTTTGATTAACATAATGAAAAGTCAGTATTATATTTTCTCTAGCTATGTATTCCAATATGCTTCTTTGGTATCATCATATAGACATGAACTTGATGTGTTTAAACTGGATAAAGAGGATGCATAAAGTTAGATCCAAGTTTTCAATAATTTGATCTCATAAATTAGTTCATACAGATAGATTATGCTTCCTGATAACTTTTTGCAGTTACAATCAAATTTTGAAGAATTTGCTCTACATTTATTATTTGGCAAATTGCGGGATATAGCAACGTACTTGGCTTCTTTTTACCAATATGGAAATATACTTTGGGTTTTACCCATAATTGCAGCATAGTTTCTATTTTGTACTGATTATAGCATTTTTTTAACTGGATTACCCGTTGATGTTTTATAACTTTTTTGCATACGTGACATCTCATAAATGATGATGTGGCAATAAAATGCCAGATCAGCATTCAAACTTTACCAAGAAAATGAAAAGTAACGCATGAAATTTCTTTGTCATCTTCTCTTTAAAGCTATGCTTCTTAAATATCAGAAAATCACTTTTTTATATATTCAACTTGGAATTTGGATCAATATGCATCAAGTTGAATCAGATTTTTGTACTTTCTAATCTCAGAAACACATTTAAATTTCGATAATGATGCATAAGTAACTAATCATTTTAATAAGTTCTGACATGCTTTGAGTTAGAACCAAAATTCAATAATTCGCAATAGATCTATTGTTGTATTATTAACTAGGTGTAAAACCCGTATAATATACGGGTTGATTAAAAAAATTATATATTAAAGTATAAACAATAAATATTTTTTAAAATAAAATTTTGAAATAAGGAATGAAAAACATATTAATTGCAACTTATTATCACATTTATTACATTTAATACTTTATATATAAGTATAAGTATTACGTGATTTTAATTTTAAAAATTGAAAAAATCTAAAATTGACATGTGGATATTATTTTATTTTAAAAATATCACAAAATGACAAATGTCAAAACTTATGAGAGATTGACATGTGGCAAAATTGATCTTCATTTATTATAGTATATTTTGGACAAATCTTCATGATTTCCCAGAATATAAAGTTTAGTCCCTAACTTTTTTCAATCTCATGGAATGTCCCTGTGGTTTCAATTTCTATCGTGGTTGGTCTCTCACATATATAAAAAAACTTTTATACCCTTTTTATTATATATATATATATATATATATATATATATATATATATATATATATATATATATTATTTACTTTCAATTTATTTTACAAAAAAAATAATAGCCTGCCTTTACCTCACCCTACCCTACCCCACCCCATCTCACTCTTCTTTGATAAGCCCCATGAAATTCTAGTTATTGTGGGCAGCTTCTTCCAAAATGTTGTATGGAGGGCAGTTTGGTCTTTATTTATTTGGAGTTAGTGGTGGGACATGGTAGTGGGGATATCACTTTGCCAAGCTGTTATTCCCTTTTTTCATTTTGTTTAGTAGTAGTATAAATATAGTAGTTAGTAGTATGAGTGAGGTGGCTAAAAATTGAATTGTAAGAGAACTCTTGTTCTTCTTTTGGAGAGTCCATTCCTCTCGAATGAATGAGATCATCTATCACTCTCACACAAAACTCATAGGAGCCCTCACTTTCACCCTCCTACAGATAACTCTCACCTCCGGCCACCACCACCACCACCATGATTATCCATGTCGGCGACTCTCACCTCCAGCCACCACCACCATTCCTACAATTTCAGTTTCCCCGTTGATCACCACCACAATCGGTATCAATTCTGCCACAAACAAAAATTATGCAATGGATGCCTAAACCCAGAAATTAAACCCCATAAATCATGAATTGATTAAACCCCTAAATCATAAATGAATCGATCTTTAAACATAAATCATGCAGGAAATCAAAACCCCATAAATCATGAAGAAAATGAAAATCAAACCACTTTATGTGGGTGTTTGGGATTACTTTTTAACCTTAAAAGTCCTTTTTGTAAAAGAACTTTTTGCAAAAGAAGTTTTTTAAGATGTGTTTGGATTAGCTTTTGAGGAGCAAAAGCCCAAAGTTGTTTTTAAAAAGTGTTTGGTTTAACTTTTACATGTAAAGTAACTAAAAGTCACGTTTTCGTGACTTTTAAAAACCCTTTTTTTTTCTATACAAAAAGTCATTTTCAAAATAACTTTTCTATTAACCAAACACCTTTTGA